ATATTTCAAGAACAACTAAACAAAACAATAGTGTTAATAATCGCTATACAATTAAAAGAATCAATTCTTTTTGTTAGCCTTGTGACGAAGGGAATAGTTTATTTTATTATTTATCACAAGCTAATTTAGAGCTTAATACTCATTTAAAAGTGCAAAGAAATAAAGAGTTTGAATGATTAAAGTAGCAAAAACGACTTTAGTAATTAGGATCAGAACTCAGACTCAACACAATTTAACTCATCTTTAATCGGTAATTGGAATTGATGAAATTTATAGCACTTATGTTCAATATATCTCCTATTTCTAGGTCTCAATATAAAACATTGAAGCTAATCTTATACTTCCTCCGTCCCGTGAAACATTTCCCCTTTCTTTTTTTATCCGTCCCACAAAACACTTCTCATTTCTATTAAAAAGTCACTTTTACCCCTTACTTTTTCATACCCTAACTATCACATCATACCTTTTTACTAATAATCTATCCATCAAATCATACTTTTACCCATCACATCAAAGGACATTTTTGGAAATTCAATACCAAAATACACTCCCTTAAATCCCTCCTAAAAAGCANTCTTTTTTTATCCGTCCCACAAAACACTTCTCATTTCTATTAAAAAGTCACTTTTACCCCTTACTTTTTCATACCCTAACTATCACATCATACCTTTTTACTAATAATCTATCCATCAAATCATACTTTTACCCATCACATCAAAGGACATTTTTGGAAATTCAATACCAAAATACACTCCCTTAAATCCCTCCTAAAAAGCAAATGTCTCATGTTTCACGGGACGGAGGGAGTATTTAATACATCTCCTATTTCTAGGTCTCAAAATTAAATTATAAGATAATTATATTTCTAGTACATCTTTTATTTCTAGGTGTCAGTTCTATGATAGAAATTGTTCAGATTAAATAATTCTAAATCCTCATAGACAAGGAAAGAACTATTTTCCAATTATTTAATCAATAAAATATTTAGTATTATTAATTAATTTAAACCATTCCAAACGGTTATTTCTAGGTGTTTAGAACATGTGACTTAATTAATCTTATTACCTCATAGACAAGATAAAAGACTAATTTCCAATGATTAATTAATAATATAAACAATTCTATTAATTATTAAAGATTAAATCACTTTCTAGAATTAATCCAATTGCTAATTAAAAGATAAAATTAAATTTATTAAATCCTAAATCTGAATCCTAACCCATGTAAAATTACCAATTCATAATTTCAAATAAAACATTCATCACTGTCATAATAATTGATACAACTCTCACAGGCATATTAATCAACAATTTATTTCAAGAAAAAAAATGATATTTTATTAATAAAAGTTCAAAAAAGATTACAATAAAAAAATAGAAAAACTTATCCAACAACTTGAGAATTGACTTTGGATGATGAAAATTAACTAACACAATTTTACTACAATATTTAGGGAAGAAAAGAGGGGACTTTGCCCCTAAATGGGGAAAATTGAGATGGAAAAAGATTGGGAACAAACTGGAAGCGCGCATGGATTTTATAGGAGGAGGAGAGGCCTAGGCGGGCAGACTGGCGGCCACCGATCAACCCGCTGCCTCCATTACCGAATTCTCCTGAAACCACCGGATTTGCTGGTCGCCTTCGACAGGCGGGAATGCAGGCGCCTACCTGCCTGCCCACCGGTGCCCCTCCTCACCACCTGTTTCTTGTTTGACCGCCGCCGCTACTTTGACTAGCAGCCAAGCAGGCGGCCGCCTGCTGCGCTGCCCCGGTCTGTCGATGCTATCTTACTCGAAATCGCGTTCTGAACACTTTTTCCTTCTGCACTGACATCAAATTCCGAAACGTTTGTGAGATAGATTTATTTTTCTATTAAAAATTACTCTGTAACTCTTTTTACTTCATTCATAGCCCAATTTTGCATTTTAATTTAAAACTATTCTTTTTATGATCAAATTATCAAAATATATATTAGATGAAAAAGAATAAAGAATTTATTGTTTTGATAACTAAAATGGTACAAAAACATATTAAATATGAGTAAAAAGATGAATACAAAACGAACTTATCAATTTCTTTACACTTAAATGTTGATTGGCGTCAAGCAATTCATCATCTACTAACACGAGAATGAAGAAGATTGTCTGATCAAATTCTAAAATCTTATTTCCTTGCAATAGTCAGGTAATATTATTAGTCTTATTTACTTCGCACCTTCTTTTATGTTTAAACAACGAAATACCTCATCACTCTTTTCAAACATTTAACAATGAAACTTATTTTAAAATTTGCATGAGTAACTTTTTCTTCCAAAAAAAACCTTAAGGCGCTATGTTTGGTTGGAGGTAGGTAAAAATTTTATTATGTAGGTAATGGTAGATAATTGAAGGTAGGTAATGTAAGGTAATGAGTTAAAAAATTGTGTTTGGATGTTTATTAGGTAACGTGAGGTAGAGAAAAAATAAAATTACCAAAATATTCTTATGGTTGTTTTTCTTTATTTGTTTAGGATGTCAAAGGTTCTTAAAAAATCCATTTGGGTATTTTGGCATCAAAAGTGGTTCACGAAGCATAAAAAATACAAATTGAAAATTTAAAAAAGTCATCTTTTGCAATATTGTCTTCCATATCACAATGTGAAAAAGGATATACTGCTTCTTACATAGTTAACTAGATAAATCAATCTACAGCAATTAATTAACCCTAGAGCTAAATATACAGAAACAAAAAAAAAGTGAAAAAAAGAAAAACTGAAAACTGAAAAAAAGGAAACAAAAAAAAACAGAGGAGATTAAAAACTGGAAATTGAAAATTGAAAAAAGTGTAAAATTGAAGTAGAGCAGATCGAAAAAAGGGGAAAAAAATCTGAAAATTGGAAAAAAAAAGTGAAAATTGAAGTGTAAAAAAAAGCAAAGAAGGAGCAGCAGATGGCGATAGAAATTGAAGTCCATTGTAGAACAAAAATAAGGACCTAAAAACAATCTGAATTGAGCAGCGCTTGAGCAGCAGATGGCGATCAAAATTGAAACAAAAAAGAGATTAACTATGCAGCGTCTATGGCGGAATTGAAGAGCAGAGCAATTCAGATAAAAAAAAGTGAAAATTGAACGGCAATAGGAATACCAGTGCGATCGGAACCGGAAGAAGAAGACGATGTGAAGATGGCGATTGGTTTCGTGCGATTGGGTGAAGGGCAGCAGCCCATTTTATTACCTCGATATTTCGCCGATTTGGCTGTCGCGTAAAATCTGTTAGGAGCTAAGCCTACCTCGCACTACCTTTCCCTACCTATCTTAATTTTTATTACCAAACAAGGTAAAATATTAATGGGGTGTATTCAATTTGGATTTGAAAAGATTTTGATAGATTTTTTAGAATTCATGAATTTTGTAAATTTGTTGGATTGTTTTAAATTTACGTAGAGTTAACAAGATTCTAATGTATTCTATCATAGAATTTTACAGGATTATGTTTTTTTCTTTTTACTTTTTCTTTTCTTTTTTCTTTTTTCCCTCCTTCCCCAAGACCCCTAACAGCTTCTTCCATCTGAATTCTTTTCGTTTCTTTCTTTTATTTTTCTTTTTCTTTTTTTTCTTTTTTTCCTTCTTCCTCCAAAAACTTCTTTCAAGACCTCTGTATATCCACAAACCCTCCATCTCTGCGGCTTTTCTCAATCAACAGAGCACTGTCTCTATTTCTCTCGTTTCTCCCTCTCGAGCCGTTCTTTTCATCAGAATTATTTGTACGCATCTCTCTACCTCCAAACAAGTAGTAGTCAATAAAGATTTGTAGTCTTTTAATCTACTTCTCTCAATTATATATTATTATTGTACCCGTGATTTATCCCATAATGCCTTCTTTTTCTTACTTACTTTTTTTATTTTTATTTATTTATTTATTATTTTGAATAAAGAAAGGCAGAGCTCCAATGGAGATAGGATACTCAATTTGACACTTAAGTGCGGGCAATTAGCAAAACTGCTTGAGTTGTGGGTTTATCTCATTGCATGTGTATACTTGCTCCCTCGCTTTATGTAATTCACGAGAGAAGCAGAGCTCCATTGGGAGAAGATTTCCAATTCGTCACTAAAGCGCAACCCTCACAATTAGATTGTTTATTTATTTCATTAAAGATAAAGTGACCAAAACACTTACAATCGTTAAGTAATTAAAAACCTTAACTTACTCAACCCAAACCCAACTCATGCAAAATCTTCAAAATAAAAGTCCATCGTTGAAATTTTTGAAAAGAGTGAGTAGTTATTTAATTACTTAGAAAATAAAATAAAATGTAAAGCAAACTAAATACTAAAAATATTAATTGATTATTGATCAAGATAATAATATTCAAGAATGTAATTGATGGGATTAACCCGATCAGATGGCGGACCAAGAACGTAATATGAATCAGGAAGATATAATCACTCGATAATATTCTTTTTACTGAGTATTCAATTGTCTCTCTCTTTACAATGACGGGTTCTCCCCCTTTTTATAGTACTTCTAATATTGTAACTAAAATTATACAAAATGGAAAGGATTATGGAGATCATGGGGTTATGATTCCCCCTTTTCCGGTCTCGTTCTCTTCCCATTTCGTCCACAACTTGATGATGTGGGCTACGTGTCCCATTCTTCCCTTGGACTGGGTCACCTTGATTTATCCCATGGCTGGGCCGTCTTTCTCTACTTGCCATATGCGCAATAACGGGCTTGGCCCGTCATCTCCGTCTGACCTACCCTTTGGGCTATTATGGGCCTTTATTTGGGCCTGGAGTCGGGCCTACCGGACCCGATATCCATCACAAGCCCCCTAGTTTTCTAGAGACGTGTCGCTGGAAAACTAATGATGAGCCGCCTTCGGTTTTTTGTGTCGGATCAGAAACGCCGCACTCGAGTGCCTCGGGTCCATCCTTTCAACGGATATAACCCCTTCTGGACCCGTCTTCTTCCTCTTGCTACTGAATCTTAACCCGACCCGAATTCCGACTGCAATTTCCCCAAATCTTTGCTTCTTTTCTCAAAATGGCTCCTACAGATCCCGAAACCTGGACCCATGGACCCTCCATCATCAAGGAGAACGAACTTCGAGAGGTGGCCATGCTCCTGGGCAAGGGCTTCCGGGTCCACCATCCCGATGCCATTGGGGGGATTAGTCTATCCCACAATCCAAATCCCCAGAAGTACATGGTCATGCAATATCATTCTGTGGAAAATGGTTTTAGGTTGCCCCTCCACGGTCTGCTTCGCGGTCTCTGCCTCCATTTCGGATTTGCTCCAGGTCAATTGACTACCAACGCGCACAAGTATGTCGCGTCTTTCATCTTGCGCTGCTGCGCCCTGGACAGAATCCCATCATTGGATGAATTCTTTCTCCTCTTCAGTATCGGTGGTTTCCCCTTCTACAGCCTATATCCCCACAACCATTTCCCAATTTTTGAAAAGGTTGAGTTCAAGCATGAAAAATGGTCACTGAGATACTTCGTTATTGAGTTCCCGGCTCACAGCCCCCTTGATCTACCAGGTGTTGTCCTCCGCCGTTCCATTTCCCGGACGAAATTTGCTGCAGCAGGATTAGCGGAGGGAGTGTACAACGCCTTGAGAGAAAAAGAAGGTTTAATTTCACACCACTCCCTTCAAGACGCCCGACTGTACAAGAAGGCGGGTTTTTACTACCCCCTGGGTCCTGACCCGTTTCCATTTGAAGGCGTGCCTTCTCCCGAGAAACCAAAGGCTCCTTCTGCTACAGAGTCAAACCCAGCCATGAGATCTCCCGGGAATCAATCCCAAGGCAACTCTACTGCGGCCACGGGAGGGAGTCACTGATGATGATTTCCTTCCCAAGAAAAACAAGGGTGATAATACTTCTGTTTCACCCAGCCCCCTGCCTACCTCTTCTGATACCTAGTATGCCATCCCTGCTGCCACATCCGGGGGTTTGGAGCTACCCCACCCGGATAGCTTTGATTGCGAGGGAGAAGAGCTCCGGGACCAGTCTGCACTTAGAAGATCCGTGACGCAGCCCCAGCCTGAGGCGTCCGATTCCTCCCCCCATGCCGCAACTATTCCGCAAGTGATGGAGGAGGAAGGGGTGAGTCGGCAAGAACCAGAGCCTTCCCCATGGCAGAGAAGGAGGTTGAAGTGCAGACAGAAACGGAAATCCCCTCTTCAAAGGAGAATGAGGTCGTGGAGCAGAGGGATACTGAAGCTCCTCCAGAAATGGAAAAAGAGACTGAGAAGCAACCGGAGCCGGAGGGACAGTGTTCTACAGCCACACTCCCAGCCCCCAATATCCCCATCCAGCGTAAGTTCACCCCGCAAACTTACCCCGCTTTCACAGAAGGTTGGGCAGGCTTTTCCCGCGGTTTGAGATCCTTGCAGGCTTCCCATTGGACTATCCAGGGGAATCTAGAGAAGATGAGGGAATCAGTGCAGGGGCCCACAATTCCCCAAGCTCGCCGTGACTTGCTTGCCCTCAATGCACTGCACTTCATGGAGCAGGTACTTTTCCCTCTCAGGAATCTCTTTTATCTCCTTTTAGTTATCTCTTTCTTGACTTCCCTTCCTCCCGATTAGGCCCAACAATCAATCCTGACTTTGACCGAGGAGTACCTGGGTGGAGCATCAGGAAACTACCAGGCCGTGACGCTTCTAGAGGGGAAGGAGTTGGCTGCCAGGGCTCTACAACAGAAGGTTGACTCCCTGGAATTGAACAACAAGTTCAGGTCCTTCAGGAAGAGAATGCCCGGCTCAAGGCCGATGGCTCAACGGAGCTAGCAGCCGAGAGGTCCAAGGTCAAGTCCTTGCATGAGCAGATTGCCACTTACCAAAGGGGGACTCAGGATCTGGAAGCGCAGTTTGACAGTCTCCAGGCACAAATCTCCATCTTGGAATCAAGGGCCTCGGCTTCAGAAGGCAAAGTGGGAAGTCTGGAAGCTGAATTGGTTGAAAAGGAGTCCTGGATCTCTGAGCTGGAGAATTCCCTTCGAGAGGCCAAGCATGAGGGTTCCCGTCTTAATGAACTCGCACTAAAAGAGATGGAAGCGAGACGGCTCACCCTCGAGAAGTTGAAGGAAGAGAGACAGACTGCAAGCGAGCTCCGGTCAAAGAAGGATGAACTGGAGAAGGCTATTGCTGCCCATCAAGAGGAGGTTGCAGGCCTGACTGCCCGTGCCGCAGCCCTTTACGAAGAAGGGAAATTTGACATGCAGCACTGTATTTATGAGGCGGTCTGGAGTGGTCTTCCAGCTCACCGATCCCTGGATGATTTCATCTCCCACTACGGATTACCTTTCCCTCTTCCTCCCACAGATTCTCGTGTTGACCCGAGGTCTTGACTTTATCTTTCTCTGTTGACTGTTGTATTTCGCTTTGTAACATTTAGATGGCTGTAACTTGATAACGCTTGATGTATTTCCGTCCTCACAGACTCCTTTTATTAAGCTAACTGTTCTCCTTTTGGGATTCTTGTTCCGCCCAAGGACTTAGCAGATTTTTTTTATCCGCCTAGGCTTTGGGCTTAACTGCATTCACAATATACTATTTTTCTTGTTTATCATTGTGCTAAGTGACTGGCCCACTTTAACTACGCCGGGCCCAGTTCACCCTAGCCCAATAATAAGATGATGCAACCCTAGCTTTCCTCGGGAATCCGCAACCGCCTCCCAATCGGATAAGCACTCTGACTCCGCGTCATTTGCACTTCTCCTTTGGGATTACTCGCCTATTTAAGGGACTAGGCTGAACCCCTTCATCATCACAATCAAATTCTCAACATGGCTAATAATGCCAACAGAGTTGTCTTCATTGATCTTACTATTTCCGATTCTTCTTTTGATTCTTCTTCGTTGGCACTCCCTTCACTCGGGGCCCCAACGCCTGAGCTCTCTTCTGGGCCTTCTCTTGCCTCTGAACAATCGGTAACTTCTCCCTTGCCCAGGGAGGAGAATCACCCTCATCTCCCCCCACAGGTGTCAGGGGGTGCTCCTCCGAGTCCCGGCGTGCTTCTTAATGGTGCCAGGATGGAAGCCTCTTCTGGCCGTCCTGGCACGTCTCGTCCGCAGAAGAGACGCAATCCCCACTCAGGAACTTCCCGGTTAGTCTCTGGTGCGAGGCCTTCCTCCTAGGGTTCCCCTTCCCCTCAGCAGTCATATGGACAGCCACCTGAGGAGTGGAGGGACTATGACATGGGGGGAAATAGGCTTCCATTTATACATAGGGAAAAGGACGTAACCTTCCGGGACCCGCCTCCACCTTCCGTATAAGCGGAAACAGGCCTTGAGTCCCTCCCTCGTGCCTCATCGTCCTCCTTGTTCGTCTTCATGGGAGTGTCTGCATGGTACCCACGGGGGAATGGCTTTCAATCCCAACCCGTTAGTACCCTTTCGCCCCTTTTGAATGTCATCAAGAGAGAACGGTGGGCTTTCTTCACACCCCCCCC